AATAACCACTGACCATAGGCGGTCCAGCCGTGGTCGTACTTGATAGTTTTGTTCTTTTTGATATTACTGCCATTATTGGTTTTGAAATTCTCCCATTAGGGTTTAAAATATGAAATTCTTTTCCTAAGCAACTTTATCTTAAACTGTGCAAACTTCTAAACCTGTTATCCGTTCATTGCTTTCGTTTGCCTCATTAATTGGCGTCTGACGGCTATTGACAGATTTAGGCGAATGGTGCAGTGGCTGGCGAAAATATATGCTGTTGTATTTCCTTGTCATATAGACTTATGAGAGTTTTTTTCAATCCAAGTATAGTAAAGTTTATTCGGAAAAGGTAATGCATTCGAAACTAATTTTTTATATTGTAGATAAGTAAAAATTAATTAAGGAAGGCGTTAAGGTTCGGTATTACTTGAATAACACTTTAGCAAATATCATTTTTAAGCAGGAAAAAAATAAATAATCGACGACAGATAATAAAAGACGGTGGAAGACGAAGAAGAAAGATAAAACGATTCGAAACAAAAGTTATTTTGCAGGAAGCATAGCAAGTAGTTCCTTCTGTTAGCATTCATCTGGATTTACTGTGGATTAAGAAGGTACGTGATAAGCTGTAAAGAGGACTAAATTTTATTTAAGAGCTAAAAATTATTCAGTCAGCAAGTAGCTGCCTGAATCGTTGGGGCGGTACCACAAAGATAGTCTTGCTCTTTCCCTCTTCCAATATCAAATATGGTCTTGGAAACAAAGTTTTCGGTTTTGCTGAACGTTCACGGCCTCCACTCTAATCTGCAAGACAAGTACGTGATGAAGTCATAGCGCTACTCTCCCCTTTTGTCTTCTATCGGAAAATCTAATTTCTGTAAGAGAACGGTATGCTCAGAGGCAAGATATGCATTAAAAGTTGAGATTGTCGATATCTATCATTATATAAACTTTTTCTTTCGTATGGCTTTTCCAGACAGCACCAGTTTCAACTTATTAGACAGTTATTTGAAGGGGCGGAATGTTTCTCAGAACGAATGGACGAACCTTTTAGTGCAATCAAGAAGAATGTGCGAAATTTTTGATAAGATGTATCAAACTCGCAAAGTGGAATATCTAACATTCCAGTTGTGGGAGGAGCTAATTTATGAAGTGTTTCGAATCAGGATGACAGTATCCTCTGTTAATGTTTGTGATTCCACAAATATGCAGATTTACACTGCATGATTTCATAGAATTTCCAAAGTAATAACTATCCAAATGGCTCAAAGGTATTCATTTTCTCTCTATTTCTTTATGTAACCAGTGAAGTGTCTTCCAAATTTTTTTCTTCGTGAGTCGCTATTTTCCATCAGAGTGAATGATGTCAAAATAATTTTTTGGTTCGCATAGGGCATACGAGAACAAAAACAACATTCACTGAGAAGCAGCATTTCGCTAAAGTAAGCTAGTGCCGCCTGTTCTTTCACCTCATGCGCTCGAGACTCCAAGTTTACCTCATTTTCTACCTGTAAAGCGTTCCCAATTGGATTTTGTTTAAGCAGAATACACTTTTTTCATTTCTCAGTTCATACGCCATGCGTATCTGCGGGTGTTTTTTACAAGGTGGCCTAATCAGAAAACTTACTGGCATTATGGAGTCTCTCTTCCCCATAGCAAGTCATCTATTCATGTGGATGATTATAAATTGACCGAATTCATTTTGCTCTCGCACTTTACTAAAATTTCCTTATTCACTAGTTTCATTAAGTAACACATGCTCCATGTATATCAAGTGTATCACAACGCACTGCAGTCATTCACTGGCCTCCTGTAAGGTGCTAGTGTGTTTTTAGGAGTGGTGATCAAATTTTGGTTGTTTTAGCTTTCCATCGCCCTCCGCATGAATTTTTCATTATCCTGGAATCTTTGAGCAGCATATATTTGTTTCTTTTAAAATTCAGCAAAGATGAGGTATTTTAGGTTTTATGTTCAAAAAGTCAGTCGGCGATTGCGCTGACGTCATATTTTAGATCAATAAAATTTTTTTTAAATGTCAAGTCTGCTTTTTGTTTAGAAGATGGCTTGTCAACCTTATTGAGTTGCTTAAGATACATCTATCACATTGTAGATCTTTTCTACAAGTCTTTAGCTTAGTACTCGTTTCCTCAGCGAATCGTATCAGTGCAGACTAAATTGTTTTCCTGAAAACAAGTCAGTAGAATACGATAAATTGGCTATGATGAAGCTGGGGTTATACTACCTTCGACATATAAGTCCGAGAGTAATTACATTTTCCATGTAGTGCAGCGTTTGCTTTCACTTTCGTTGCGTCGATTAGGGTACATTTTATGCGCATGTTTCAGATGTTTCAAGTTAAGCATGCGTACTCTAGTACTGACGTGCATCGTAATTTGTCCAAGCGCAATCTGGCCGCGGCCAACGGAGGCGTGGAGGGCAACAGTGGCTTGGCTTACCATCGCAGGAAAATCGATGGAGAAAGCTTTCTTTCAGAAGACGTGGGCGACATTGATCGTCAGGATGCTGTTGAACAGCTGCTGCCTCCACAGCTTTCAGACGAGTGTTCAGACAACAACTGCGATCTTATGCGCTCTTCAGGTAGCCGACTTCTTTTGTAATCTTAAGTTATGTAACAAAAAACGATTATGAAATTCAAAATAACGATACCATACATCAATGGCGAAAATGTAGTGCAAAGAGCGAAAAGAATATTTTTCACTTTGCAGCAGCTGCACTGTAGCACCATCCCCTTGCTTCTAGTCGCGTATGGGGCCATTTAAGCAGGCCACGGCTCCATGGAATTTAAGTGCCTGCAGTCCAAATGACGCATGGCCGCGTCTCTCAGTGGGTTTAACTAGGGCATGTTCAAGCTCAGACGCATTTCCCACGATCAGTAGAACATCGGGGTTGTTTTATCAAGAAAAATTGATTAAAATTTCTTCTTTGTCAACCTCATCATTCTTAATTAAGGTAATTTGCTATAATTAACTGATCATCCAGTTAATATTTAAAAACACGGAAAATCGCATAATTGCATTCATAGCAACATAGTGGTATATTTGATGATAGGGGTCACATCTGATCCAGTCGGTATGCATCTTATGATTCAGGTGCCTTTAGGTTAAAGATATTGGAGAGTAACAAGTCTGTTTGATAGTTTTTCCAGGGTTAATTGGGAATATGAATATAGTCCAACCCATTGGCTTTGTTGTCGCTATACCCTGTTTAAAAGACATTTGTTTCAATGACAGTTCATGGTTAATTCCTTCATTTTAAACCTTCTGTTTCCAAAAAATGGTACGTTTAGGAAGTTTTACACTGCTTGCTCATAACAAGGGCGGGATTTCAGAGCACGACAGTGTCATGTGCTTAATATAATCAAAATTTCATGCTCTTCGGCTACTAATTGTTTTCTGTTTCTATCCCTTTCGTATATTTTCTTGAAGAAAATCTCTACCAATTTTTTGATCCGGTCGAAAGTTCGAATTCTAATAAAAATTGCAGTTCTTTTCGATTGTTCTTTAGTCAAACAGCGACGAATCGTAGATCGATTTTCTTTTTGAGGTTTCTTCAGTCTTAATTACAGATATGGAACTGAGGAGCTGCTCGTCTTCAGAAGAATTCGAGTCTTTGACTCCTGATTACGTCAATCACCAACACCCTGATTTAACCCTGCACGACGGCAATGGCGGTGGCGAAGGAGAGCTTTGGTCAGATGGCCGTCGCGAAGAAGAATCTATCAAAGTGAAGATCGCTGACCTGGGCAACGCATGTTGGACGGTAGGCGACATTGACGATTCGTTGGCGGTTGTATTTTATCCGCGATGTGCACTCCTTTAGCATCATCACTTTACCGAAGATATACAGACAAGACAGTATCGATCATTAGAGGTGATCATTGGCGCTGGCTACGGCCCTCCGGCAGACATCTGGAGCGCCGCGTGCATGGTACACGCTTCTTCGTTGCTGTAATCTTTTTCGCACATTAGAATATTACTTGATTAAGGCTTTTGAACTGGCCACCGGCGTTTACCTGTTTGAACCGCATTCGGGAGAATCGTTTACGAGGGATGAGGATCACCTCGCACATATCATCGAACTGTTGGGTTACATACCTAGATCTATCATTGCTCAGGGAAAATATTCGAGAGAGTTCTTCACCAAATCAGGTAGCAAAAGCATTATTTTTCATTTTTCTCCGTCTGTTCTTTTCCCTTTGTGGTAAAATTTGGCTATTTGTGTGTAATTCTGTTGTTGACCAACGTATATTTCTTTGTTTGTTTCTTTTGTAAATTTGCTCATTGTTTTCCAAGCTTAAGTTCGATTTTAGAGATGATTGAAGAATGATTATGGAAATTTGTAATTTTTTGTATGAAATTTATCCACTATACAACTATTCGAAACGATATAACTATTAATGTTATCGTTCAGAGCGGTATTCTGTCCATACCGAAACTTCAGTCTAGAGTGGTGATCTTTCGCATTGATTGCTTAATGGCAAGTTATAGCATTTTCAGCGTGCAGCGTTTGATCTTTGTGAACCATCACTTAGCTTAGCCAAAACAGCTTTGGAATCCAAGGCTTTTCCAAAATTTTATCACAATATCAAAGTAGTTTATGTATTAATTATACGATGAACGATGAAATCGACCAATTAGCAAAGGTAGCTTTTTCAAATCTTCTTCATCTTCCTTGGCTGCTTTTCCTTTCGGGTCGCGGAGGCAGACGCGTCATACAGAGCTTCCAACATTCCCGATCCTGTGCCAGAGTCTGAGCTTCGGCAGAAGACAACTGGAATCTGGAACAGACTCCTTCCATATATTTGCATCAGGTTAATCTTGGCCGTCCCATGGGCCTTTTGCCGGTCGGATTTGCAAGAAACATTTACTTGGTCTTCCTTTCTGGAGGCATTCGCAACACATGGCCAAACCATCGCAGCTGTGACTTGACTTCTCACTCATGAGAAGAGCGGCTGTACCTCAAGGCTTTCGCGAATGTCTGTATTGCCGACCAAATCGAGACGCGTAAGTTCAACGACTCTTCTCAGCAAGCCCATTTCAGTAGCCTGTATTTGGGATTGAAGGATTTTAGACATGGTCAACGATTAATGACTGTAGGTACGCATAGCGATAAAGATCGACTTGAAAACCGAGAGCTTAGTTTTAGGACTCAGCAATGCTTTAGTCATAGTTCACGCCCAACGTCGCGGCTACTCCAATTCGCCAGTCGATATCTTCAAGTTTTCTGTCGCTGGTGAACACGACTCCGAGGTACTTGAACTTCTCCATCTGCTCCACTGCCTCTCCGTTAATCTGAAAAGAGCAACGGGCAGGAGAACGAGAAAGCATTAGGCTTTTCATTTTAGGTGTGCTCACGCCCATTTCGGTCACGTCGCACTCGGTTAAACCTTTCTAGAAGATGCTAATAAAACAAGGTTGTCTGCAAACAGCAACGTTCTCGTCTTCACATTTCTTACACCGATACACTCGTTGTCTTGGCAGTTCCTAACTATGGAGGAGAGGTGATAGGACTCAACCTTGGCGGATACCAGTGACAATGTTGAAAGGCTTCGATTTAACGCCATATACTCTGACGCAGTACCTGCTATCAGAATACAGCGATTGGATGACCCTTTGCGGCTGACCATCTATCTCGTCTGCTCGTAGGTATGCCCACAGATTGTTGCGCGGATCCGATCATTGGCTATTTCTGGGTCAACAAGAACATGTACACCGGATTGGCGAATTCCCATGATTTCTCAGCAATCTGATGCAGGGCAAACATATGGTCAGAAGTGCTTCAACCGAGCCGGAAGCCACACTGCTCTTCTTGTACTTTGGAGTCAGTTATTCTGCGGCATCTACTGTCGAGCACTTTTGTGTAGACTTTACCTCGGATGCTCAATAACGTAATGCCCCTATAACTGAAGCACCTCATTGTGGTCTCCCTTCTTGAATAGAGATACAACAGCTGCCGTTCTCCAGTCTACTTGTGTCTTCCCCGTAGTCATCGCGGTTTGACAGACACGTGTAGGCCAGCACATGCCTTGTTCGCCAAATGCCTTGAGCATTTCAGAGCGGATTTCATCAATTCCAGCAGCGTTTCCATTTTTCAAG